TTGGTTGCATAGCATGCACATACACTCGCAGTGCCTGCAGGTACTTCTCCTAAAGAGAAAAGTAAAAAAAAAAAAAAAGAGCCGGCTCAAGTCCTTACGCGAGCTGTCTCCCGTCATTCAAAAGAGCCAGCTCTTTGAAGCAGTGTGTTTGCAACGACAAGTCACTATAAAATAAGATACTAACTGTGTGTTAATGCCCCAGAGCTAAAATACTGGCTCTGTTAAGAATCAAATGTTACTGTTTTTAAGTCATATAGCACATTTGAATTCCATAGGGAACAAAGAGATTAGAGACCTTATAAAAACTCGTGGGAATTTCTGGGAACCCTTTAGACTTAATGTTAATAATTGCATGTCTTGGCTTTTACTGATAATTTGAACAACACAAGTTAAAGGTCAGTTGTACTGTAAACGTGATTTATTAGCTATGAAATACTGTAGATATGTCCGGACTGAATGAGTAATAATCTGCTTGCATTTTCTCCTGAATGCATTCACTGAAGGTCACCTAGCTCATTTGGGAAATAGTCGCCATGGCTACATTAGTTAGAAGGTTGCACTGATTTCCTTAGAGATGAGAGCTCATGGGGATGTTTTTGAAAACAGGGACAGATTTGTACAGGAGCAGCGAAAAACGTTATTATCAGTTGTTTTTCATTCGGTTTATTGTAACTATTTTTTTTAAGTTTTACTACAAAGACCAGCTGTCTATATGTTTATCTATCTATCTATCTATCTATCTATCTATCTATCTATCTATCTATCTATCTATCTATCTATCTATCTATCTATCTATCTATCGTAATTTAAGGACTATAAGCCACTACTTTTTTTCACACGCTTTACAATGATGTGGCTAATTTAATCTGTCTATTGTTATTTTATTTAGACGTATTTGTGCAGGTTTGACCTACTTTAGGAGCTTCATGGGTGATCTCTGTTTTATTTCACAACCTGCTGAAACAAATAATTATCATTCAATAGCATTGAATAATTTTTTAACCCCTGCATTTTTTTAAAAGGACAGATTAATGTGTTAGGCCCTGATGGTAATGCATGTCATATAAGCTTCGAATAAATTCTCTGTATTTTTAGGAACTGTTTGTGGTCTGTTGCCAAAATAAATCTTTTATTTCGGTTGTGTTATTGCTGTGATGTTGCAGTTTAGAGGTGCAGCACTTCATAATTCTCCACAGTACAAGATTCAAGATTCAAGATTCAAGATCGGGTTTATTTGTCATATGCACTTTCAACACATGGTCTACAATGCAATGAAATGCTTGGGATGGGGGGACCGTAGACTCGCTGGGGTAACATAGAACACACAGTGCTAGCAGCATGCGATACTACTACAGGGAATAAGGTAAGAAATAGAGGGAGAAAGGGGGAATAGAACAGTGCAGTGCAGGCAGTGCAGGAGTAGTGCGACACAAGATAAGGACATCTAAGTACAAGATAGGGACATCTAAGTACAGCACAGATAAGAGCATTAACACACGGAGTAAGAACTTGTAGAAACACCGGGGCAAAACATAACACGGGATTGGAACATACGCACACACAGGGACATAGGTTATTGCACATATTGACGTGGTTATTGCACATGTTGTCGTGGTTAGAGTTATTGCACAGAGAAATAGAGCACAAGAAACCAGAGCAGCGGGACCACAGACCCTAACTCAAAGTTCATGTTCCTTACACATTGATACACCTTTCAGTCCCTAAATTTAGCATCCATTCATTGAACATGGTTTTGCTCTTGGAGGATCACATTTACATTTGTAACCCACACTTGAATATCTCTTAGTGTGGATCAGCACCGTTACTTGATTCGTACAAATCTTAATCTCTTCATGTAAAGCACGTTAATGTCATTCCACGTTAAGTACATGTTTTATGACAGTAAAAACATTTACATGACTTTACCTGATTGTGCATATTGTAGTACACGAAGTAGGGGATGGGTCCCCTATAGAGCCAGTGGGGTGAATTAACTTAAATTTAATTACATTTTATAAAAGCAGCAGAAAAAGGTTTGAGAAGCACTGTTAAGGTAGAGCGTAGACAGGTGGCTGTGGTTCTGTGGTCCCAATGGATGCACTACCTGGGTTTTAAATCACATACTGTAGAGCTTACACCATTTGTCTTTCATTGTCCCACCACAATTGTCATATTCACCCACTGTCTGGATTTACAGCAGCCACAAATGGGAAGGTCCTTTACTGTACAGCTGTCTTATTCCTCAACTCTTTCCTCATCCATAGCCTATATTAGTGTCTTTAAAAATATCATTGTAAATCTGAGAGCTGCACATTATGCACAGGACATGAAGAATGTGTGCATCATAATGAATGTCTTCTGGCATATTTCCCCTGAGTCACTGTTTAATAAAACTGCTGCTGTGTCTAACATAGTGCATTGCTGTCTTTAGGTCCAAAGTCTATTCTGTCTTTTCTCTGTGCTACAACTACACAATTGTGCTACGACTACAACAATATAATACAATATACACTACTTTTTTCACACACTTTGAACTCTGCGGCTTCTTCTTCTTTTCCTTTCGGCTTTGTCCCCTTTTTTTTCAGGGCTTGTCACTGCGTATCATTGTTTTCCATTTTACCCTGTTCTCTGTATCTTCTACTCTGACTCCAACTATCTGCATGTCCTCCCTCATCCATAAATCTCCTCATTGGCCTTTCTCTTTGTCTTCTACCTGGTAGCTGCATCTCAAGCATTCTCCTAACAATGTATCCACTGTCCCTCCTTTTTACATGTCCAAACAATCTCAATCTAGCATCTCTAACCTTTTCTCAAAACCTTCCTGTCTGTGTTCCTTTAACGACCTCATTCTTGGTCCTGTACATGTCACTCCTAGAGTGAATCTTAGCATCTTTAACTCTGCCACCTCCAGCTCTGCCTTCTGTCTTCTGCCTATTGCTAGTGTCTCTAAACCATACATCATAACTGGTCTCACAACCGTCTTGTAAACCTTTCCCTTCACCTTAGCTGACACTCTTCTATCACAGATCACTCTTGACACTTTTCTCCAGCTATTCCATCATGCCTGCACTCTATTCTTCACCTCTCTTCTACAGTCTCCTCTGCTCTGAACGGTTGATCCTAATTACCTAAACTCCTGCACCTTCACCACCTCTGCTCCTTATAACTTCACTGTTTTGTTTACACACATGTTCTCTGTCTTGCTGTGACTGACCTTCATTCCTCTTCTTTCTAGTGCAAACCTCCTCCTCTCTAGGTTCTCTTCTAGCTGCTGCCTACTCTCACTACAGATCACAATGTCATTTGCAAACAACATAGTCCATGGGGACTCACGTCTGACTTCATCTGTCAATCTGTCCATCACCATATCAAACAAGAAGGGGCTCAGGGCCAATCCTTGATGTAGTCCCACCTCCACCTTGAAGTCATCTGTCCTTCCAATAGCACACCTCACCTTCAACGGCTCTTTCAGTGAACTCAAATGTTAATTGTAGGACTCATCAACTTTATCACTCTGTAGTTGTTCCAACTCTGCACATCACACTTCTTATAAATTGGCACCAGAACACTTTTCTTCCACTCATCAGGCATCTAGTCTGTCTCTTAAATTATGTTGAATAACCCATTCAGAAAATCTACCACCACTTCCCCTAAGCACTTCCATACTTCCAATGGTATGTCATCAGAACCAACTAACTTTCCACTCTTCATCCTCTTCATAGCTTTTCTTACTTCATCCTTTCTAATCTGATCTATCTTCTTCCTAATAGTTTCTGGCTACTCATTCAACAACTCCTCAAAGTACTCTTTCCATCTTGTGATTACATTCCAATCTCTGTCCAACCTCACCTGCTGCACATCCCAGTTTGATTTCTCTGCCAATCTATACAACTCATCTGTGTGGACTTGCCCACACTCTTGTAAGTCACCCTGTGTTCCTCTTTCTTTTAGAAATAGGTGTTTACCACAGCCATTTCCATTCTCTTTGCGAAATCTATCACTGCTTGTACTTCCAAGTTTCTATCCCTAACGCCAAACCTGCCCATCACCATTAAAGTCTGCTCCAATCAGCTCCAATCCAGCTCATTCCAGAACTTTTTCTTCCAACTCACAGCTCACATGTGGGACACATAACCACTAACAACATTCATCATCACTCCTTCTATTTCTACCTTCACACACATCAACCTCTCGTTTCACCTCCACCACCTTTCTTGCATATTCTTCCTTTAGGATCACCCCTACTTAATTTCTCTTCCCACCTGAACCATGGTAAAATAGTTTGTAGCCTCCTCCAATGTTTCTAGCATTGCTGCCCTTCCACCTGGTCTCCTAAATGCACTTCTCTCCATCATATCAGCAAGTTCTCTACCTTTCCCTGTAAGTACCTACATTCAGAGTTCCAAACTTAATACCAACACTTCTATCCTTCATCTTATCTCTTTTTCGCCAAATTGATCGCCCTCCTCTTCTTCTTTGTCTTCGACCAACAGTAGTCCAATTTCCACTAGTTATCTGTAGGTCAACAGATCTGTTGACTGGCGTCGTTTTTGACGGGCCCCGACCGATCCAGTATGGAAAAAGTTTTTGGAATACTCATATTTGATTTGTCCAAAGGTTTAACACCAGATACCCATCCTAACGCAAACCTCACCATTTATTCGGATTTGGAACTGGCATTGTTTAAAAAGGCATTTATTTAATTAAAAGTGAAATAAAACTTCTTTTTGCACATTTCTATTCCTTCCTAAGCTATAAACATACTGTACAAATATTGCTTACCACCTATACAGTAAACAATAATACAATTTACAGTGTCATAGCAATGAGTGTTGTCTTGTCTCTCTCTCCCCACCGGGGAAGGAGGCAGAGAGATCATAATCGACTTCAGGAAGCACAACATTGACCCAGCCCCCCTCTACATCAATGACAAGCACGTGGAGATGGTCCACACATTCAGGTTTCTGGATGTCCACATCTCCTCTGACATCTCCTGTCAGAAAATATCACCTCCATCACCAAGAAGGCTCAGCAGTGCATTCACTTCCTGAGAGTCCTCAGGAAGCACAACTTCAGCACCAACCTGCTGCTGTCTTTCTACCGCTCCTCCATTGAGAGCCTGCTGACATACTGCATCACAGTTTGGTTTGGCAGCTGCACTGCTGCAGACAGGGAAAGGCTGCAGAGAGTTGTAAAGACAGCACAAAGGATCATTGGCTGTCCTCTACCCTCCCTGATGGATATTTACCACTGCCTCCCACTGCCTTAGCAGAGCCAATACTATTATCAAAGACAGCTCACACCCTGGCTATGACCTGTTTGACCTGTTTCCCTCTGGAAGGCACTACAGGTGGGTTAAAACAAGGACAAATAGATTCAAGAACAGCTTCTTCCCTAAAGCTGTAACTACCCTGAACTCCCATATGCACTGACCAGACTCCCTCAGGCTACAACTGTATCACTGTCATAATAAGCTGTACATTACCTTGTTATATGTGCAATTTCCATAACATGCAATTGTCCATTCCGCTGGACAACATACATGTGCAATATGTGTCAACACCTACCTCCATGTATATTTTTACTTAGATCTCTGTATATAATTTGTCTTTTTTTTTTTTTTTGCACAGATACTGCTTTTTGCACTGTATTAGGAACCGCTACAATTTCGTTGGACTCTAAGTATAATGACAATTAGGGCATTCTATTCTATTTTAAGACAGGAGGCAGATCTGGAGGTGGCAGAATTAAAGATTCTAAGATTCTCTGTAGGAGTGACAAGGGTGGACAGGATCATGAATAAGGTCATTAGAGGGACAACACAGACTTCTTTGGAGAAAAAGCCAGAGAAGCCAGATTGAGATGGTTTGGACATGTGTGGAGGAGGGACAGCGGATACATTGGTAGAAGAATGTTAGAGATGGAGCTACCAGGTAGGAGACAAAGAGGAAGGCCAATGAGGAGATATGGGGATGCAGTGAGGGAGGACATGCAGATAGTTGGAGTCAGAGTAGAAGATGAAGATGCAGAGAACAGGGTGAAATGGAAAAGATATGCTGTGACAACCCCTAGAAAAAGGGA